TATCTGTAACTGGTACTACTGCTACTATCCCATATTATTAATAATAATTGTAATATATATTGATTAGTGTATTGAGTTATTGTGACAGTTCATATTTTTCATTCATTCAACCATTCATTGCAGTCTTCAAAATTCTACTGACTAACATAAGCCTATCCACATATTGCCTCATAGCCACAGTTGCAACGCTTGGCAAGCGGGTTTTAAATCGCAGTTTACAATTTTTTAAACTTAAACAAAAAATGCAACAACATTAAAAGTTAACACTTACAGTTCAAAGTTCGTTTCACTTTGGCAGCATTTCTCAATATTCCCAACTCGAACGCAGGTGCTAATTGAGGTCAATAAATAATAAGCTAACAAAGTTCGTTTTAAGTAGTCACAAAGTTAAATGATTGTTTGTTAAGTGTTTGTGCTCGTGTTAATAGAAATTTTATTTGTAATATCGTTCGATACCTTTCTTCTTTTGTTCTTTCTTTTCCTTACAGCCCATTAAATGCATACTGCACTGCATAGGCTTGCCTCATGGATATTTGAACAAATATCTGCCATAGTTGCCACGGTTTGCAGGAGGTTTAATATTAAAAATTATATTGTATAAGAGTTCTTATTTGGAAGGGATTCATGAAGTTAGGGATTCGAAAAAGTAGAATTGGCATTTTTAATATTTCTTGAAATATTGATTCACAAGAAATATAAAAAAATGCTAAATCTGGAACAGTTCAGAAATACTGTCACTATCATCATTAAACTTCTCACGAATAAACGGCAAAACTTCACCGGGATATAATAAACGGCAAAACTTTACGTGGTAGAGCCATGCCGCAGCTATATTAGTAGTATAGTTGTAGCACAAATAGGTCGGTTCGACCGGGAAAGGACCACGCTCTCACAGAATAACAACGTAAAATAGCAACTTAACACTGATGTGCTTTGCATGGCGAGTGTAAAGAACCGGAGACCCTTTTTACTGTAAAAGAGGCATTCCATCTTAGTCCTCACGGTTGACAACGCATCTGCATTTTGATTCTTTATTGAGGATAGATATGGATGTCTATCGGTCACAGCAACCACTTACCATTAGGTGGACTGCGTGCTCGTTTGTTACCCTATTATGCAGCCCATCCAGCACAAGGAGCACTTGTGCACAAGTATAACGCATTTGGCAGTAAATCCTAAACCTGAACCTTAATCCTAAACAGTCATCCACCATATTAAACAACCCGTCACGCGACCTTCCAATCAAGATTTTTATGGGGAACAAAGATTTAAGTTGGAATTTACAAGTCGTACATCCAACTTTGCCTCACATACTCTGCGCCGGCTTGATATGCACTATGTAACCAACAAGAAGAAACTAAGCATATAAGTGAACCTCACGTTACGGACCAAAGATGGCGTTACGTGAGGAACACCGACGTTTTACCATTCGACGCGACCAAACAGTAATAAATTATCTCAATGCATTCGTGCGGCATTTTTCAACCAATATAATCACGTCCACCGATGCATCGAAATACAGACATCTCGCCAACATCGCTCCACTTCATGCCAGAACTCCCGAGGGAGAGGCGCTCTTTTGAGAGCTGATTGAAAGAAATGATCCTACCATTATCACCTTAACTTGAAACCTCCAAAGAAACGGAAGAACAAACAACCTATTAAAAAGAAGAGTAACCTCTTTTGCCCTCGCTGCTGCCAGGTTTTTTTTTATAGTATAAGGGTGACAAACGACCACACAGTCCACCTGATGGTAATTGGTTACTGTGGCCCATAGACATCTACATCTATCTTCGATTACGAATCAAAATGCAGATGCGTTGTCACCCGTGACGACTAAGATGGAAATGCCTCATTTCCAGTAAAAGGGTCTCCGGTTCTCTACACTCACCATACAAAACACAGCAGCGTTAAGCTGCTATTTTACGCTGGTATTCTGTAAGAGCGTGGTCCTTCCCCGGTCGAGCCGACCCATTCGTGCTACAACCATAACATAGCTGCAGCATGGCTCTACCTCACCACATGGGGTCCCACCCGGCTGACTTGACCGCGCAGGAGGCGTGAAGATCCAAAGGAAGCCAACGAATGTTAATTAGCGTACGCAGACCATACCAAGATACAACTGTACATCCCAACGCACAACCTTTATTAACGAGCAGCGACTCCGGAGCTGTAGGCGCTCGAGAAGAACGAGAAGCTGTTTTGCATTACCAGAGTTGCCATAATTGTCGTAAATGGTGAACGGTTTAGATATTAGCTAATTACAATGTTTTCACTCCAAACATTTTTATATAATTTCATACAGGTCACGTAGTTAGCCAAACATTCAAAATTCCGGGAGTTAAAAAAATTTAATTGAACGTGATAAAATCCTGAAATCAGTTTATAGTCTTATAGTGTTAAACCATTACACAAATCTCTATTGCGCTTAGTCAATACTATCCCACCTGATGGTAAATGGTGATGTAGTCTAAGATGGTAAAGCGCATTCACTTAGCTTAAAAAAAGCCTATACACTCTTTCCTTGAGGACACCCTCACAGTAATCGGATTTAATAATAATGTTGCAGGTAAAAATGACTAAGATGCCATTCCTCGTTTCCAGTAAAAGGGATATCCAGTTCTCTGCACTCACCATACTAAACACAGCAGCATTTAGCTGATATTCTGTGAGAGTGTAGTCCTTCTCCGGTAGGCAACCCATTCGTGCTACAACTATAATAAACTGTCAATTATTCTTATTCAATTTTTAATATGTTTACGCCCGAACGCTGATTTCGGGATTGACGTCAGAGGGCGCACGGCTCGGCGATACTGGTTTGACGTTCGGTCGTGCGTAGAACGCGCGAGGGCAAATAGGAGTTGTCTGCCAGCTGTGCTTGGACAGCACGTGGTCATTTTTGTCGGAAACTCGGAATAATTTAGGCGCGTCTAGTAAATATACTGTCTGGGATTTGTAACGCGCATTCCTTGCTTGAGAGCTTCACCCGGGAATAATTGTGTCTGACTCAGAATCTGTATAAGTGCATTCGACAATATTAGCTAGTGCGGCATTTGGTATTCTAGAAATAACGGTTGCAACGCGTAGCGGTAGTGAACTTTGATCCGGACATTCGTATTCGGGCGGTGTGTTACGTTTTTGCTTATAGTAACGGGATCTCATATAGACCGACACTCCGTGTTCGTTTTGTGTGTTAAGCTTTATAACAAACGAGAGTTAGTGGCTTCTTTAAGTTAGTTAATCGTACGATAGAGTTAATGGACTGGCATCGTGACGAATGAAGAAAGTGACTGTGGATGGCGTCGCGGAAGATTACCTCAATTTGGAGCGGTGCTGACGTCCGGGCTGCTGCCGAAGGCAAAGGTCTAATAAGGTCAATCACCACCAGTCACACCCAGATACACATCACAGCACCTTATTTCCCTTACCACCACACAACCACATGCGACCTGACTGAATCCTGAGGGACCAGTCGCCTTGGAAATAGGTAAGTAAGCTCGGTTTAATATTCTCCCTGTTGAATGGCAGTAGTATAGAACGCTCCCCCTTATTGTTTATTGTAATTAGAGACTTTCCACGCGGCCCCTTGCTGAGGCCTGACCTGCATCTGCTTGTAAGGTCTTCCGCTATGGGCCCGGAAGATTCTACTATTATTTAGGCAGCTGTAGGCCGTAACAAATATAACATCAAATATTGTTTACTCTCTGATATTTTGTTGAATTTTATAACCAAAAAAATTTAAATTGAAATACCCATTTATTATTTACTATTACTTATGCTTGGCTCTCAGTCATTTGCGTTGAACTCATCAATTTCGCATTAAATTCTTACACGCTATTGGTGAGGCGTTCTCAGCGATATTAAACGTACCTGAATGCACGCACCATTTGCAAAGGATTTTTTTAAATTAGAGGAAGTGTTTCGCCTCGTCGAGTCTAATGAAAATTAATAAAGATGGTTGGAAGTCGCACTTATTAACTAATGATATCTAACTTGTTACAAACAATTAGGAGAATGATTTTAAAAGATAAAGCTTATTCGTGAATAAAACAGATCATATCCGTTTATAGCAAATAATAAAAAGAAATTACATACACAAAATTAAAAAAAAAACTTATTGATAGAACTTGCAAACAATATATGATATTCCACATACAGTATACTTTTTGCTACATATATGTGCATTCTAACTCTTACGTAGTAGCCAAAAGTTCAAAAAAATTTTGTTGATTTAAACCTTTTTATATAGTCTTTGTAAATCATAGCACGAAAATCACGTCGTCTGAGCTCCATTACCGTGAACGAAATCCTGCCAGACCGCTAAGAAAAAAAAATTCTTTCAAATATAAATATTGGAAATTATAAGTGTTCCATTTTATCAGTAAATATTCACGATAATGTATAACTTGCCTTTTTTGATTAAAGAAGTTGGTTGCATAGACTGCAGTAGCCACTTACCGTCAGGTGTATACTGTTAGTTCGCTTGTCACATTAATTTAAAAATTTAAAAACAAATCAAATTGATAATCTACAAATTCTTTTTAAATACTATAACTACAATGCAATTGGTTTTCATTTTTATCGCTCGCGGAACTGCACGGCACAGCTGTGAAAAATTTTCACCGCTGATATGTTGAAATAATGTGTGATAAGTCCGCTTGTGTTGAAAAATATTTTTTCCCAATCGAATACAGGACGTCCGGCAGTGAATGATTGAATGCATTGAAAATCCGTTTACACTTTACTCTGGATTTGATAGTTAAAAATAACATTTATGAAAGTTTTTCTTTACGTGTGTTTACGTTTGTCCCATATGGGACATACTCCGGGAAATGGGCGTAACTCAACATCTCATAGTATTGATTGCCAATCTGTACCAAGAAGGCGAATCCATGGTTAGAATCAATGGCGTCATATCTGGACCATTCAAGCCAAAAAAAGGAGTAAGACAGGGATGTATCCTGTCTCCTATCCTGTTTAACATCTACGGGGAATATATAATGAGAAGGGCCCTAGAAGGATGGGAGGGAGGAATTTCAATCGGGGGTGTTAAGATCAGCAACCTCAGATATGCGGATGACACCACACTCTTTGCATCATCGGAAAAAGAACTCGCTCAACTCCTTCGCAGATTAGAGGTAGAGAGTGGACTGGCTGGACTTAGTATTAACAAGTCCAAAACAAAAGTTATGTTGATAGACAGAACCGGTCAACTCTCTAGGACTGGAGAACTCTCGGACCTAGAGTTTGTGAGTGAGTTTGTTTACCTCGGATCGCTACTTTCGGACAGAGGAGGAAGTGAACAAGACATAAGAAGACGAATCCAAATAGCCAAAGGTGCAATGACTAGATTAAAAAGAATTTGGCAGAACAGAAAAATCTCTAATGTCACCAAAAAGAGACTTGTCAGAACTTTAGTGTTCTCCATCTTCCTTTATGGCTCTGAAGCATGGACGATTCGAGCAGCAGACAAGAAAAGGATTGATGCGTTCGAAATGTGGTGTTGGAGAAGGATGCTTCGGATACCATGGACCGCTAAGAGGACCAACGAATCGATCCTGGGGCAGCTTCGTGTTGACACCAGACTCTCTACCACGTGTTACCAGAGTATTCTGAGTTACTTTGGTCATATTGCCCGACGCCCGCCTAATAACTTGGATAGACTTATAGTCGTAGGTAAGGTGGGGGGCAAAAGACCACGCGGCCGATCATCTAGCCGCTGGTCAGACCAGGTCAAATCACTCACTGGCCTCTCACTCACGACTGCAATGCAAAAAGCCGAGGACCGGACAGAATGGAGGGCTATAGTGAACAACGCTACGAAGGCACTAAAATACGGACACGACCTTCAGTTTTGAAGAACACGACCAAGAAGAAGAAGAAGTTTACGTTTGTAAGTAATTTGTATGTTTAAATAAAACTAGTTTTATGGATTATGTCGCGTTTTATCAACTTATTTTATATTCCTGACGTTTCGACCTCTTTACAGCACCCATGGTCACGGTGGAAACGGCGGGAGGGGACTCGTGGTGAGATCCGTAAAACCTAGTTTCATTTAAATGTGTAGTGTTCGCGTAAACATAAGAAATTATAATTTCTAAGTGTTCCTGGCGGCTAGTCCCATGTCATTCGTCCCATGGGTGTGAGATTTTATGGGCAATACCGGTTATACTTAATGGCCTAAAAGTGAAACATTGATTTCACCATATAGTTCAAGCTAAGTCTAAAATACCTAGGCTAAACATCTAGTAACGCGATCACATACCGCGTGCCAAGCGTATCTTTAAAAGCAAATCCTGTTTTTATTATAAACGATAGAGATCCATGTCCAGCAGTAGACTGTTACTGCTTTTAGCAGTTAAAGAAGACGCTGTACAAATATCCACAGAGGTCACGTTAACTTCTAGGTAGTTCGCTTCTGATTACACTCATAGGATGATATGGGATAACGGATTTCCCTATGCGGCTTATATTTTCATTCCTTGATTAATGAATGAATATAAACCACATAGCTTTCTTAAAAGCAAGTGGGTTGCGGTTTTTTTATTAATAAAGAGCTGTTATGAGGAAAATGCTAGTACGTATAGTAATTTTCTTGTGCCGTTACTTCATGGCTATATATGAAAGGCACCATAATAAAGAGTTTTCTATTGGCGCGGGTAGATTTGGCAGGCCATGGCAGCTATTTGTTTAAGTGACATCTATCAAATCTTCTGTTTATTATTTAGTGACTTATGCCAAATCACCATGCCAAATTACACGATTGAACAGCACGTTAAAATGATAAATTTTTTTTTTTTTAATTTTACCAAATGAGTGTTCATTAGTGCAAATGATTCGCGTATTGCGCCCCCGGTAGATGTAGTGACCCTTCACAGTCGACTTTTCAAAGTTTGGCGGCCAAATTTGAAACGACTAGTCCGGTAAACAATCAGCCGACACCCGTAAGTTCAAGCAACGCAAGATCGGACGTAAAGTGTACAGCAGAACCCGAGACAGTCGATTAATCACCGTGCACAAGAACTTCTCCTTTCGCAGGCTTCAGTTTGGCGAATTTTGCGTCGGCACTTGGGCCTACCGTAAGCTATCCGTACAAAATCTGACTAACATAGGAGCACAATGTTCATGACTATAGACAACGCCGCTTGTTCGCTGACTGGGGCTTCGAATTGTTTGGAAGAGGACCCCAATTTGGGCCGTAAAATTATATAAAGCGCCGAGGCGCATTGTTGGATGAATGTTGTGTTAACAAGCAGAATTTCCGTATATGCGACGACATGAACTCACGCGAGGTTCACCAGGTGATAATTATTTTGGGCCGGCGGCGTCATTGGTCCGTACTTTTTCGAAAAAGACGCTGGTGAATCGGTCACCGTCAACGGCGAGTGCTACGAACGATGGTAACCAATTTCTTATGGCCCAAATCGAACCATAGGTTCATATGACATGTGGTTCTAGCAGGATGACGCTTTGTGCCACATAGCGGACGCCACGATTGACGTTCTCCATGAGCGATTTGAGGCTAAGCTTATCTCTCGCAGGGGTGATGTGAATTGGCCACCAACATCATGCGATTTGACTCCGCTAGACTTTTTCTTGTGGGGTTTCTCGAAGTTGCAGGTCTATGCAAACAAACCACAATCGACCGATGCACTCAAGGTGAACATAACACAGGCCATCGCTCCAATTCAGCGGACATTTGAACGATGGCATATTTCACACTTAATGGCACGTATGGGTCTTTCAAATAAAAAAAGAATTTTGTTAATATCTCACACATGTTTTATTTCATTTCAACATCTGCCCGCCCTTATTGAAAAACCCCTTATTAATTACTGTGTAGTGGCGGTGTAAGAATATCTACTTTCACATATCGGCCCGAGGGTGTCGTAAGAAGCGACAGAGCAAAACTGGAACAGGAAATGTGTAACTGCATCCTACAACAACACATCGAAATAATAAAACAAGTGAGGTTGCCAACCCTCCTGCTAAGCGTGGCAAATATGGCGAAGTATGAGGGACTTCGTCATACTGAGTTTAATCTGAATTTCCAAATCAAATATTTTTTCTTTCGATTGCCAACCTTGAATCCATGGGATACCCATTTTTTTGCTTCTATTTTTTGTTAAAAAAACATTATAATATACCCCCATATTAGGATTTTCTCCTGTATTGTGGAGGCAGTTTACAAACATAAATTGCACGGGGACAAACATCCAGACCCGGAAAAATTATTTGCAGGCCATACAAATACTCTGTTCCGTTTGGGATTCGAACCCGTGGCACCCAGCGCAGCAACTCATTGCTAAGCCACTGCTCCACGGAGCCGTCATAATTTTGGTTTACTATTGGTCCATATGCCATGTGAGGTGAGCCATATGCTCGTTTGCTCCCTCTCCTATAAAAAAAGGATTTTTATAACCGACATAACCAACATTTTATAAGGAAGAGCAGTCTCATTTCGTTTGTATATTTTAATGTATGTTCAGGCATTACTTCTTTAACAACAATATAATCAAGCGTCACTTTGCGAAAATAGATTATATTCCGTCTAATAAAATAAAATGATCATCCTCATCATCCTCATTTGGCTCTCCGCGCACTTAGCAGTCAGCCACCGCAGAGTCTACTTCACCTAAGGATGCCTCCTATAGAGGCGAAACACGTCGTGTCGTATTATCAACGGTGGTGTGTCATTCATAGTGTAGCTGTGTTAGGAGTAGTACTGGGATTAGTGGTGATGGGGATAGTGCACGGAATGGAGCGGGGCGGGATGTGCTCTTTAGGTAAGACACACAATTTTATTTTATTACACGGATCTAAGCAAAATATTTTTTTGAAATCTTTATAATTTCTCTGCTTATGCTATACCGATTTTAATTATTCCTGTAACGTAAAGTAAAGTTGCAGCCTATTTACGTCCCACTGCTGGCCTCCTCTCATTTCTGAGAGGGTTTTAGGGCAAGGAAATGTCCGCCGCGCTGCCCCAATGCGTGTTGGCAAACTTCACATGTCTTCGAAATATTTTTTTTTCTTATTTCTCAGACATGCAGGTTTCCTCACGATGTTTTCCTTCACCGCTGAGCACGTGGTAAATCAGAACTTAAAATTGCAATTAACAATTTCATTGGTGCCGGGTCGCTCGAGTACTGTGAAGCTTACAGCGAGCGCTAACCATCTAAGCTACCACGGTTCTTCTGATTATTCCTGTATTTCATATTAAAGAGATATTTTTATTTTCTGCCAACTTCCAAAAAGGAGACGGTACTTAATTCGACTGTATGTTTTTTTATGTGTGTTACCTCATAACTTTGTACTGGGTGAACTGATTTCAATGATTCTTTTTTTATATGAAAGCTGATAGTTCTCTTGTGGTTCCATATGAATTTGATTAAGGTCAGACCAATTTTTATTGAGTTATTCTTAAATAACTTATATTGAAGTCGCTTATATTGAAGTCGGCTATACAAAATTTTTAATTTTAAATTATTATAGCACAGAATTTAAAAATGTTAAATTCAATAAATCGTTTAGTGACGGTGTATGAATATCCACTAGCCCATATCGTCCCATGGGTGTCGTATGTGACGATAGAGGAAAACGGAAACAGAGGATATGGGAAGCAGCATCTTGACCCGCGTGCCAAGCGTGGCAACAATTGCAAACACCCAACTATGAGGCATTATGTTTACTATATTTACAAATTAGTCAGCATCGTGATCATCATTACAAACTGTAGTCAAATTCTGAAGCTCCCACAGGAATTGCCAACAATACTCTGAGCCAACATAATCAATCGACCCTCTGCATGTGTGGATTTTCTTTCACCGCCACCACACGGTTAACTACGAGTACTTTATTCATAGCACTGAAATTTTACAAGAACCCTTTCACGACATGAGGAGTTAGTGAAATTTACTCTTAAGATAATAAAGCGAAAATGGGTCTTTTAATATAGGAAAAAGAACAAGTAATATTCTGGAGTTACGCCTTTGCCGGATTATGCAAATTAAGCTTAGATCTATATTGCGAAATATGGTTATACTGACGAAGCCCTAAAATAAATCTTATACAGTAAGAAAGGCGGTCCAGCTTGTTTAGAAGATCCTGAAACAGATCCAACAGTTGAAGTGACATCTGCATAATCAATTATGGGTCATATTAGCGATTGAACAAGTATGATCTTAGACTTTGTGGAGAGAAATTGTTGTAAACGATACAGAGAACGTAATGTAGCAGTGACTTTACGACTCACATCTGAAACCTAAGTTCTCCAATTCAGCGATGTATTTTATCCTTTAAATGTCTTTTACCTGATGGTTGTGAAATCAGCTTTTAGTAAGCTAATATTTTATGTAATGTTACTAACAAATCAACCAAAAAAAAAAAACAGTTGATTTACTCAGGTGATTCAGGACCGTGCTTTGTGGCATTCCCTAGGGAAGACTTATGTTCAGTATATGAATTATAATGAATGATAATGATGATGATATTAGCAAATTGACTGGCTTCGGGGACAAAGAAAATCTTTATTATAATGAAAATGACACTGGCAACTTTGTTACTGGAAAAGAAAAAGCTGAATATAAAATCTCCGAGCGTACACTAACTAATATGCACTATATATGCTAATAATAAGCAACACAAAGCGAGACAAAGTTTTAAAACCAGGTGCATAATAGCTTAGAGTTTTTATCAAACCTATAGAGATAATTTCTCTCATTACATTTTGTCCCTGGGTCATCAGTATTCTTTACTTTATTATAGCCCGGAGTCTAATTGTTTGACTATGAGCGTTAACGTAGGGTATTAAAGTTTTTTTTAAATTAAAAATGAATAAGCTAAGAACTGCGTATAA